TTCTTCGCTACATATTCTCACACCCAGAACTCAATAACTTGAAGAAATCACCTACGGCTCTTTGACCTGCTTACCTGGTTACCTTACCTTATTACCTGCCTACCTGCTTACCTTATTACTTCTTTGACCTGCTTACCTGGTTACCTTACCTGCTTACCTTATTACCTGCTTACCTTATTACTTCTGTGATATTTTTGATCAATCAAGGTGGATCTTGCTTTGAGAAGTAATAAACCCCAATGGCTCAGTTACAGAGCATGCAACATGTCCAAAGAATATCATGGAAATTATTCCATCATGAAGATGAGAGAGACTTTCCCTACTTTCATGGATTCAGCTTGCTAAGAAGAACACAAGTAAGGTATAATTTCGAGAGACAAAGAGAGTCTCTTTTTTGCAAATAAGTAGCCAAAAGGGCAGGGAAGAGAGGTAAAATATGTCATAGCATTTTACCTAGTCTTAACCATTACATGTGATGCTTTCAGATGGGTTACTAGTACCTTAATATTGAGGGAAAAGAGTAGAAGGAACCAGTCAATGGTGTTACATGTTTAGTTTCTATGACACTGAACTCAAGAGAACTGAGACCTTTGGAGAAACCAAAGATGGTTCAAATAACTCATGAGAATAAATTAACTCAATGCTCCTTGCTGATGGGCTGATTTCCTAATAGTAAAGCAGAACCAGCAGCCACAGACAAAGAAGGTCTACCCTACAGATGGAAAAGAGACAAAGCACCGAAACTCAACCCAGGGGAAGCCCCCCAGCCCTGGGGTTCAGAGCAGTGGACTCCTTCAGGAGCATCAGAGTAAGAAATCATCACCAACGCAGCTTCCTGGGCACGCTCTTCCAGGCCCAGAGACCAGAGGGATACGGGGAGAGGGCTCGTCCTCAAGGTGGGGAGTCTACGTGGTTGCCCCAGGAGAAGCCACTTCCCTTCTAAAATGCCTGGGGTTTCCCACTTCAGCAGGGGATGATAACTCAGCACATACCAAAACAACGAGGGCCCAGACAGATACCCAGCCTCCTCCTGCACATCGTGCGTCAGAAACCTGGCACAGCAGCCGCGTCTTTTCCTGACAGAGGGAGAGGCTAGATACAGTCCTGCACACCTCTGTCCTCCGAAGGCTGGGGCCAGACCAAGGAGTCGCTAGGAGCTATAGCAGGACGTCAGAGCTGAGGTCATGAGGGCCAGGACAGAGGCTGGGCTGGCCTGGGAACTGCCCAGAGCTTTGGTCTCCAGGCCTGGCTCCCCCCCTCCAAAAGCAGCCAGCCCTTTCCAAGTAGATGCACTGCATATCCCTAATATTCTCACTCCCAGTAATACCACCACTTTTCTCAAAGCAAAAACATTTCCCAGAGCCTTACAGGCCTGGCTGGTCTGCTCAGTAGGACTCAATCTCGGAAGGAGCTGCTAAATAAGCCACTGTTTCGGTTTATAGACTCTGAGGACTTAGTGACAAGTGAAACTGCTTTCTGAGAGCAACTGCAAGTTCTCTAACAGCTGGTGACTTCTCTTTTTTCTTGGGATACTCCCTCCTGCTAAATTACAGAACCAACCCAACCCACTAGAATAAAGACACAGGAGTGCAACTCCACATTTTCACATACGAGTTGTGGATGCCACCTCTTCTCCTGGGAGCTTAATACTGAATGGCAGTTACTTTTCCCCCTTCACTTTGAATGCATTGATGGACTCTCTGAACTGGATTCCACCAACACGTAGGAGGGCAGTCATGGGCAGTAATTCTAAGGGGCACAGAAAGGACCAGCTAGCCTAGACAAGGGCAGAGGAAGCAAAGTTCCTTGGTGTTTTCCTTCTTCCCCTCATCTGTCAGGACTCTCTTGGTCTCAGCTGGTAGTCACTTCAAATCAGTGATGGTGCAAGCCAGCAGTTGAGGCTATTATTAGTTAATAAATGCTGACAGCATGGCCTTTCCTAATCATTTGTACATATTAAAATATAAGGGATGAGCTCTCCAAGGGGAAAATCCACTGAGATCCAAAGCATGGAAGCTGTCATGGTGGAGTTACGGATGTTGCATTAATGCTTTGGAGCAAAGAACCCTTTTTTCCAACAAGCAAATGGCAACCCAAGGCTAGGAAATTAATAAACACCCTAGATGCTAACAGTGTGTAAGGTGGTGTCCAACAGTGTCCTCTCAACCTCCCATACACTTGCATTCCCATCCACACACAATTCGCCCTTCCAGGGCTGCCAGAAGCACAGGATCTGAGATTAAGTCAGACTCCTTCACAGTCAAGGGTCACTTTCACCATTTTGAATAATGATGATGATCGTGGGTGGGGAAGGCTAAAACCTTCTGTCATAAAAACACTTAGCAGAAAGCCTGGAAAACAGCCTAACAATAAGACACAAGCTAGGCTCATTACCTAAATTGACAGACCAGGTTTGGGGAACTTCATGTTCACCATTAAGAGAGAGAGAGAGAGGAAATCACTTTTTTTTTTCTTTTCTTCATCTTCTACTTAACTTTCAAAAAACATGCATTTGATGTCTTCAGAGGAGAAAAGACTGGGAGACTAGCTGACCAATGGCACAGGAGTCTGGCTCATTCATAAGCAAGGCTCCACCTGGACTGCCTGACACAGTCGGCCGGAGGACTTCTCCAAAGCAGAGACCCTGGGCCAAGGAATGTTACAAAAAGCAAGTATTAATTGCAGGATTACCATGCTCCAGGGATTTTTCACAAAATCATCTCTTTCAGTCTTCACCACAGTGAGCTGCTATTATCCCAGTTTCATAGGTGAGCAATCAAGGGGCAGAGATCCTTGGCATTTCTTAGCCAAGGTCAGACAGCAAGTGGCAGAGTTGGGCTTTAAAGCCAAGCTGTGTGAACTCAAGAGCCAGTGCTTCTACCATGTACTTGACCATAGGAAATTGCCTCAGCATCATCTAAACAATGGGAAATTATAGTGTGTATATACTTGTGTACAAGTGTGTGTGTGTGAGTACACAGTATATGAACCAACAATGTAGACACAGAGGTGAGTACGTAGGTCGCCAAGAACACCTCACCAGATTAGGGTAACAGAGGATTTAGTTGAAAACACCACAGGTCGGGCACTATCTCCGGGAAGAGAAGCTGGGAAGGAAGGAGACCAACTTCTCCCGTGCTGCCGTAATGCTCTGTCCCATCCTTTTATCATGCACGTGTACTTACTATTTTTAAAACTTTTAATTGAAAAATCTGTATGCTGTTGATTCACTATATGAAATTTACTGAGTCATATTTTATAAAAAATGGAAATATGAGAAGAAGCAGTCCCACACTACAGAGGCCCAGCACGTGCATTGCAGGGGAGCCAGGAGTGGTGGTTTCATTCAGTACAGGAGGCTTGGTTGGGGGCATCTGAGTAGTTCAAGACTTAAGAGTACTAAAAGCAAAACCATTCAGCCATCCTCTCCCATTTTCATTTTCAAACTCCAAACCAGGCTACCACCACTACAGGATCTGCCTCTCTATTTAGAAAGTCAGTGAAAGAATGAATGACCTCACATTCCCCAATAGGCAGGTCCCAACATGTTGTGCACAAAACAAAACTTGAGTAAATTGATTTGTATTTTAAATACCCTAGCTGAGGTCCATGTTTTAGCAATCCTGACAAGATCCTCTTTGCAAAGCAAAGAAGTTGATTGTGATGTTAATACTGTGTTTTGTAAACAAAACATACAAAAAAGACAGCTTTTTTTCCCTTGTGTCATAAAAGGGTCCTACTTTCAGTCTGGAACCAATCTTCTGAGCTGTTTGGGTGTTTGGGAGGCTGGGGGGAATGGCCTGGTATACAGATCATTTGCATGAAATCAAGGACCCTCTTGCAAAAGATATTTTAAGGACCGAGGAAGCCTCTACAAGTTCAACCCAACATGGAAGCCTGAGGCATTGGAGGGGAAGTGTAATTCCGAACCCAGAGTCCTGTTCTATCAGTAGATTTCTTCTCAGTTGCCTCTGGATTCAAAGCAAGTCATACAGCTATGAACACAAGCTCCAGAAAATGCCACAAGATCCTTCTCTGACATCCTACCAAAGAGGTGAGTGGTATTCTCCCTACTTCTACCCTGAACCCAGTGGGTATCAGGATACCAGCAGACTCAGCACCCACCCAGGGTCCTCCCAGTGGGAGCAGGATCACCCTATAGCCAGTGGTAGGGATAGCACCAGCAGCACAAGATCAGGGTCTTCATGGGGAGCATCCCCAAAAGGCCACTAGGGAAGGAGCGGAGCTGTGACTGATCTGGCCGAAGTGAGCAGGCGCAGCTGAGGAGGAAGCTGGCAGACGCCTCGCGGTGGCATTTATGTGTGAACCCCCACTGCACCTGGAGACTCCTAGAGAAAGTGCACAGGATTTGGGGGGAGTCAGGAGGTTCTGCAACAGCTGGCCACAGTGAGAGCCAGGAAAGAACAGTACTGCTGAGGGCTCACAGTATTCTTTTTGAGGGAGTGGGGGTGGAGAGGCTCATAATATCTTATTTGTAATCCCAGGCCAGCCGGCTGTGGAGTGGTCTGAGGAAACTGAGGTCAGAACATCTTAGGTTTTTTACAAATACAAATAAACTGGAATACTAAAGCCTAACCAATGGTAATCAAAGTATTTTTTAAATCATAGTCAGCCTTAGCTTCTCCCTTCCCCCTGCCCCTCTAAAACTCTGCATGATTTCAGCTTTACTTTCTTTCTCAAGACATGGCAATGTGCTGAGTCACTAAAAAAAAAAAAAAAGTAAAGAAAGAGTGATCCAGCTTCTGAGGACTAGCCTTGGTAATGATCTAAGCTTCTACGCGGCACTTTTTGCCCTGGTTTGATTCCTGTGATGCTAAAGGACGTCACATTGAGCAATCTTAATAAGGTTTCCAATCAGCCCCACCCGCTCTGGCCCCACCCCCACCCTCCAACAAAGATTTATCAAATGTGGGATTTTCCCATGAGTCTCAATATTAGAGTCTCAACCCCCAATAAATATGAGACCGGGGATGTCTGAGACTCAGTCTGCCCTCGAGCCCACCAGGAACGAAAGAGAGCTCCATCTGCCCTCCAGGAACCCAGCTATGAACTCCCTCTTCACAAGTAAGTGAAGGAAATCCTTAGCCCAGGAACTGTGCCTGGCAGCCGTGCGGCGAGGGAGCGGGGTGTGTGTCTGCTGCTGTGAGGGCTGGCGGGCGGCCAACAGCCAGAAGCACAGCTCCCCCAGCGGCGCAGTCTGCTCACTGGCTGCTCTCCCTCTGCTCTGTCACAGGCGCCTTCAGTCCACTCGCTGTCTCCCTGGGGCTGCTCCTGGTGATGGCTTCTGCTTTTCCTACCCCGGGTCCCCTGGGAGAAGATTTCAAAAATGACAACACCCCAAACAGACTACTTCTGACCACTCCAGACAAAACCGAAGCTCTCATTAAGCACATCGTCGACAAAATCTCTGCAATGAGAAAGGAGGTGGGTAGGCTCACCCCAGGGTGATGAGCACCCATGTGGGCATCTATTTCCTTGCTCTTGGATATGAATGGGGGCTTCTGCATTGGGAGGTCTTTGCTGGGTTTGGAGGCAGTTCAGACTTGAAGCCAAAGGGGCAGACTATGTCCTGTAATTTCTCCTCTGCTGCTGGTCTCAGATGGTTCCTTTCCATCCTGGAAAATATACAGAGGGGCTGGGATCCCTGCCCCCGGCCCATTCTCAGCTCCATTCTTGGCATGAGCTGTGGATCACACTGCCTCTCAGGATTTCCTTTTCCATAACCAAAAAATAAGGTCTGTTGATCTTTTTTGTGATTTGGATTTTGGGGGGATTAAAAAGCATCACCTGAAATGACTGTTCAGCTTCTCAGGACAGTTACAGTACTTTTAGGTTATGCCAGTCTAGTGGTTAAGGACTCCCCAAAGTCATTCTGGCATGTAAGACGGATACCTGATAGTCCACCAAAGTGGCAAAATCATACATGGGCTACAGCAGCTCCCAAGCTTTAAATGTAAGGTAGTTTGGCTCTGCTTTGATAGAAAATAATACAGGAGAGGCAACTGGGAGTCCCAAATCTAGCTCTGATTCTGCTGGACAAGCTTTGTGATCTTGGGCAAATTCTTCAGCACCTCTGGGCTCCATCTGTAAAATTATGGAATTGGACTAGATGATCTGAAAGATCCTTCCAGCTGGGATATATAATTCTGGCTCAAATTATATTCATCCAATTATTATCAAAATTCCTATAATTTATTATGTTACCTACTATGTCCTGGCACTTTATAAAATATTGTTTTGTCCTCACAATAAACTTAATGGGGAGGCTTTTCATTATCTCCAACTTGCAGATATAGGGACGCTGAGACTGGGAATAGGTAATAACCATGAAGTCACAGGTGAGGCTAGAACTGAACCCAAGTGTGCCCATCTTCTGTAGAGCTCGTTTGCCTGGATGCTAATGGACTGTGACTTCACTTTTCTTAAAAACTTCCTGGCCATGAGAGATCATGCATCAGCCCTCTAGTGGTGTGAGTTTTAGGGGCATTCATATGATAACGGTTCTGATATTCTTTCCCAGATATGTGAGAAGAATGACAAGTGTGAAAACAGCAAGGAGACACTGGCAGAAAATAACCTGAATCTTCCAAAAATGGAGGAAAAAGACGGATGCTTCCAGTCTGGATTCAATCAGGTACAAATGCATTATGTTCACTTTTCACTACTCCTTAGTCAAAAGTTCTCCCCCTTGCATGAAGCATCTGTATACATAAAGACCAGGCAGGCAATGAAGAAGGGGATTAATATAAAGAACATCATGTAAATTTCATGAGGAGATCAACTTAAATGATATTAAAGGCAACTTCTTTTTTAACAACTTCATCAAATATAGCCCCTCTGGGCTGGGATTTTCACCACTGTCAAATGTTAGGAAACCTCAGAGGTTTAGCTAGTTCATCATGGGTAAGATGGTCCAGGAGCCTCTCTCCTCTTTGGCTGCCCTTAGCAGGATCTAGGCCTGCCCTCCCTGCCGAGATCATTCTCTACACCCTTCTCCTTCAGACAGTGCAAAAACTCCCACTGACTTCTGATTATTTCATAATAGGAGGTTTCACCCTAACATTGACAAGGGCAGGAGTGCAGCCAGAGGGAAGAGCTTTATGGGGTGTAACAGAGGATGGCCTCTTGCCATAATCTAGCATCTACTGGGCTTTGAGAAACATTTAAGTGGTGCCTCTCGTTGTGCAGGTGATGCTGTCCAATGTCTCAAAACATGATGCTTAAGAAGTACTTGAAGTTACCTTGAGGGGAACAGGCAGAAATTGTTGAATTATAGCAATTTTAATTTCTAAAATCGATTACGCCTTGCTGGCAATAACCAATTTTACCACTGTCTTTCCTCTTAGGAGACTTGCTTGATCAGAAGCACTGTTGGTCTTCTGGAGTATCAGGCATACCTGGACTACCTCCAGAATGAGTATGAGGGAGATGAGGAAAATATCAAGGATTTGCAGAGCAGCGTCAGAACACTGCTCCAGATCATGAGGCAAAAGGTGAGTGTCCCCTCGCCTGACTCAAAGAAGGCAGCCTAGACAACTCGGCAGTGCAAAGCCAATTCAAAAGAGATGGCTGTGTGTAAAGGAAAAGATCTGACAAATATTTCCTGATAGTTAAAGCCTTTTCTTTTTCCTGTCTTCTGCAAATGACATCAATAACTATATTTAAAGCTCAGTTAAGGGGGAGGGTTTTAACATCAACTTCTAAAAGTTTAAGAAATAAGGGAAAAAAGTATCTGTAGAGGTAGAAGGAAGCATATCCAACCTCAAGTAACAATCCATAATAACAGAGAGCACAAAAATTATTTAAGATTGCCAAATGACATTCTTGTTATTATGGTAGTTTCAACTCCTTTCCCTTACTCTTTTGCCGAGGAGTTAATGCAGAGAAAAGGCTAAAGGCTGGAAGAGCAGGTACCAAGGGCTTTGGTCACTACCAGCTAGCCATTCAAATGCCACATGGTATAAGCTTGATGGCACAATTTGTAGATGAGCCAAAGCACAGAGAGAAGGAGAAGCAGGCACATGGGTGCTAATCCTCCCTCCCTTTTCTAGCTCTGTGCCTTATACCAGGGCTTCTCCCCCTCGAAGGTGCAGACGAGTTTCCCAGAGGATCTTGTTACAGTGTAGAGTCTGACTCAACAGGTCTAGGGTGAGACCTGAGACTCACATTTCTAACAAGCACCTGGCGATGCTGAGGTTGCCGTGTTCCAGGATCACAGGTGGAGGTGCGAGGCCTTCCACCATGACTTAGCTCCAAGTCAGTGGGTCTATGGAAAACTGTTTCCCAATCCTCTTTACGCTGCCAGAGCAGCTGACTCTTAATAGATGTCAGATGGATGGGTGAGAGCAAAGCCAGAGAAAAGTATTTGAGTTAGAGGCCCCCGAAGAACCCATTAAAATGCCTTTAACTAAAAGTTCTTCATATACCTACTGAATTCTAACTTTGTGCCAGGCACTGTTTAGGATGACAGAAAACAAGTAAGATACGATGGCTACTCGTGAGATGCTTATGGTCTAACAGAGACAGAGCAGCAAAAAGTATTAGAACTCAGTTGCTGTGAGATGGTCTCATGCTGGGTGGGCTCAGAACAGAGGGACCTCCCCCTATCTGGGCGAGTCAAGGCCAGTGGTCCCAATCTGCTCCTTCACCCCAAATTTGTTTGAACATCTTCCCACAGGCCACAGTGCCTCTATACTGCAAAAGACTTCTTCAATATTTAAACAATTCCTTTTGTTTTGTGTTCCCTTCATGTAAAGAGCATAGATCTAGTAACCACTCCAACCGCAAACCTGGACCTGCTGGAGAAGATGCAGTCCTCAAACGAGTGGGTAAAGAACGCAAAGATTATCCTCATCCTGAGAAGCCTTGAGAATTTCCTGCAGTTCAGCCTGAGAGCTATTCGGATGAAGTAGCTGGGGCTCCCATGATTGTGGTAGTTCCTGGGCATTCCCTCCTCTGGTCAGAAACCTGTCCACTGGGCACATAACTTATGTTGTTCTCTATGAAGAACTAAAAGTATGAGCGTTAGGACACTATTTTATCTTTAATTTATTGATATTTAAATATGTGATATTGAGTTAATTTATATACATGATAGGTATTTATATTTTTATGAAGTGCCACTTGAAATATTTTATGTATTTGGTTTGAAAAAGTAACGTAAAAGTGGCTGTGCGGCTTGAATGTTTTTGAATATTGTTTTGGAGCCAAATCATTTCTTGAAATGTGTAGGCTTACCTCAAAAAATTTGCTAACTTATGCATATTTTTAAAGGCATATTTATATTGTATTTATATAATGTTTAAGCTCTTTTTATGCCAATAAACTTCTTTTTTAAAGAAAAAAAAAGCAACTAAACCTCTGTATGTGTCCTGTGAAGCTTAGTATAAACAAGTTTCTGTCACTACCACCACCACTAAAACAAAAAGCTACAGTCACCTGGAGGCAGGTATAATTGAGCACCTACTGCATGCCAGGCACCGAGCCAATGCGTTGCATGCCTCATATTTAATCCTTGCATTTGCACACTTTTCTCTGGAGGTGGGAGAGTAAGTGATTCCCTCGGTCACCCAGCTGAAAAGTAAACCACAGGCCCGGTCTTCCTGCCCCCAGGCTCCCTACTCTTAACCTTCAGGTCCTCTGCCTCCCAGGGAACTGACAGATGATGTAGAAAATCTCAAGAAAATACAGGGAATACATTTTAAAGATGCAATCACACACCTTTAAGATGGTATAACCACTTACAGAAGACATAGCAATAGGCAAGCTTCTGAATAATAACTAGAAGTTTTTATTCCTGGGTTCCTCAAACTGCACAGAGCTGTCCATCACAGCAATGACCACACTATATCACATCTTAAAATGGGTGGATTTTTCTTTCCAGTCAACATATGGGGCCCACAAGAAGGCAGACTCTATTTATTCATCTTTGCATCCTGAGCCCACAGACCAGAACATGAACATTCAGTTCAGTTCAGTCACTCAGTCGTTTCTGACTATTTGCGACCCCATGGACTGCAGCATGCCAGGCTTCCCTGTCCACCACCAACTCCGGGTGTTTACTCAAACTCATGTCCACTGAGTCAGTAATGCCATCCAACCATCTCATCCTACGTCATCCCCTTCTCCCACCTTCAATCTTTCCCAGCATCAGGGTCTTTTCCAATGAGTCAGCTCCTCGCATCAGGTGGCCAAAGTATTGGAGTTTCAGCTTCAACATCAGCCCTTCCAATGAACACCCAGGACTGATCTCCTTTAGGATGGACTGGTTGGATTTCCTTGCAGTCCAAGGGACTCTGAAGAGTCTTCTCCAACACCAAAGTTCAAAAGCAACAATTCTTCAACACTTAGCTTTCTTTATAGTCCAACTCTCACATCCATACATGACCACTGGAAAAACCATAGCTTTGACTAGATGGAACTTTGTTGACAAAGCAATGTCTCTGTTTTTTAATATGCTGTCTAGGTTGATCACAGCTTCTCTTCCAAGGAGCAAGCGTCTTAATTTCATGGCTGCAACCACCATCTACAGTGATTTTGGAGCCCCAAAAAAGTCTCTCACTGTTTCCAATGTTTCCCCATCTATTTGCCGTGAAGTGATGGGACTGGATGCCATGATCTTAGTTTTCTGAATGTTGAGTTTTAAGCCAACTTTTTCACTCTCCTCTTTCACGTTCATCAAGAGGCTCTTTAGTTCTTCTTCACTTTCTGCCATAAGGGTGGTGTCATCTGCCTATCTGATATTATCGATATTTCTTCCAGCAATCTTAATTCCAGCTTGTGCTTCATCAAGCCCGACATTTCACATGATGCAACCTGAATATAAGTTAAATAAACAGGGTGACAATATACAGTGTTGATGTACTCCTTTCCCAGTGGAACCAGTCTGCTGTTCCATGTCCAGTTCTAACTGTTCCTTCTTGACCTGCATACAGATTTCTCAGGAGGCAGGTAAGGTGATCTGGTATTCCCATCTCTTGAAGAATTTTCCAGTTTGTTGTGATCCACACAGTCAAAGCAGGCCCCAATTAACATTTACTGAATGAAGAAACTACATATAGATAATCAAACCTAAGATACTTCAATTCTTAGGGATATATGCTGTTGGTCAATGAGTGGGGAAGTTACTAGTACTGTGCACTTATGAATCTTTATCTTAAGGGAAAAAACAGTAAGACTTAGGAAGAAACATTCTAAGACCTTCTAGAGGAGACAGTGACTAGTCAGTGCATGTATATCTGCCTCCATTTTCTTTCCCACCAGCGATATTCTCCATCTGCCTTCTCCTCTCACCCCAGCTAAGAGTGGTGGTAAGAGAGACAACCTGGGGAAGTGCACATGGTCCCTACATCTCATATCAACACTATGTTGGGAATTTGGCACAGATTTCCCCTCTTAAGTCCCAGCCATATAAAAGTTCTGTCTTCTTAGTAAAGCTTTTCCCACCCTAACCACCACAGATGTCTTCCTCTGGGGGAGGAGTTCTGCTCTGCAAGGGAAAGTCCACAGGAGTCAAGAACTGAGAGGGGTTAAGCAAGAGAAGAGCCACATACTCTGCTTTCTAGAAACCATGCATCACAAGCAGGTTTCTGAAAATCAGAGCTAAATTCAAAGAGTAAGAGAAAAAGCAGTTAACAAACACCTCCACTCTTCAAAAGAGAATGTGTGAGCATCATATATGTTAGGTGATGCTGGGGATGCAAAGGTGAACAAGTAAACATGTTTGTTCATGTGGTTTACACTATGGCAGGAAGGCAGACATTGAACAAAGGATGTAAATGTGAGGAAGTTTACAAAAGAGAAATGTCAGGCATACCCAGAACCCTATTACAGGCCCCAGTAGTGGAGGCATCTAACTATGTCTGGGGAGGGCAGTAATGGAGGCTTAATTGAGGAAGAGGGGTTTGGGCTGAGATGTGAAAGATAATGTAGGAGTTAGCCAGGCCAAGATGGGTGGGAAGAGCTTTCCAGCCTGAGGGAACAGCATGTACAGTGGTTTGAATCCACAAAGTGCACACTATGGTTGAGAACATGAAAAATACATGATGTCCAGGGCATAAAGAATGAGAAAAAGGATAGCTAAGAGTGGATGGAGAGGGAGGCTGAGACCAGACTGAGAGCATCAGAAGCCATATTAATATAAAAATAAAATTTCAAAAGCCATAAAAATTTGGAATTTATCCCATATGTGATGAGAAGGCATTGACGGTATTTCAGGAGTAGAATGACATCTTTGATTTACATTTTAATGTGCTCACTCAAGTTGCAGTGTGGGAAATGGATGGGAAAGAGGCAGGAAGAGATTGCTGGGGGAATATATCAGAGGCCTTCATTGTAGTCCAGGGAGGAGATGGATTGGGATGGTGAGAACGGCTTAGAGGAGAGAAGGCAATGGCAGTCATCAGCAAGAGACAGGTGGGGCTAGTTCAGTAGGATGTGGTGATTGTTGACCAAGATTCAGGAATTCTAGGGGACACAGGCTTTGGAAGAGGGAAGAAGAAGGAGTTGAGTGGAAAATCCAGAGAATTTTGAATTTGAGGGTTTTCATTTATTCAAATACTCTCTGAGCTTCTGCAATGGGTGAGATTCTCTGCTAGGCCCAGGGCATATAATGATAAATAAAACAGACTAGGTCTCCACTCTCAGGGAGCTTAGAGTCTAGGGAAAACAATTTAAAGAAATAACTACTATGCTAAGTATGTATGCTACTGTTACAAGCAGGGAGCCCACCCACGCAAAAAGAGGCATTGAAGTCCTAACCCTTGTACCTGTGAACGTGACCTTACTCAGAAATAAGATCTTTGCAGAGGTAATGAAGACAAGAGGAAGTCATGAGACACATAAAGACGCCCAGGGGAGATGTCCATGCGAAGAGAGAGGCAGACAGTGGAGAGATGCATCTACAAACCAAGCACTAAGGATTGCTGACAACCACCAGAAGTGGCAAGGAAGAAGGATCCTCCTCTAGCGCCTGTAGAGAGAGGACAGCCCTGCTCACACCTTGACAGCAGACATCTATCTTCCAAAACTGTGAGAGAATAAACTTGTGTTGTGTTAAGCCACAGTTTGGGGTAATTTGTTATAGAAGCTCTAGGAAACTAATACAGCTATTATGACAACACAAAGTAGGAGAATCTAATCTAAAATAGAGTTCAGAAAAAACTCACCAGAATAAGTGACATTTAAACTTATACTAAAAGAATGTATGGAGATGGTGAGGGACAAGCTTACAAATGATGGAGAGGGACGAGGAAGCCTGGCATGCTGTAGTCCATGGGGTTGCAAAGAGTCAGACATGACTTGGCACTGAACAACAACAACAGAAGAATGTATAGGATTCAGCCAGTTGGAGAGGTAGGAAAGGTGTTTCAAGCAGTAAGCACAGCATGTGCAGAGGCTCAGAGGTTGGAGAGAACATGTTGGAGGAACTGAAGGAACTATAGATAACTGAAGCCCAAAGAAGAAAGCGGTACAAACAGAGCTGAAGCAATAGGTTCAAGTTACGAAAAATCCTGAAGGTGGATTAAATAAAAATGTTGATATAACAGAAAGATAGAGCAATTTTCTTAGAATTTTTTATTTTTTTTTGTTTGTTTGCTTTCTTGCTTTTTTTTTAATGTTGAGGGATTTTTCATCATCTGGTGGCATGGGTTAAGGAGATTTGGATCTAAACCTCTATACCAGGTAGTATAGAGAGCATCTACAAGAGATCTACTTTTCTGTAGTGGGTTCCAGCAACAGGGCAGACCATACTAGACAGGTGAAGGGCAAGAACAAGAGAAGATGAGAAGGAGCATGTCAAGGTGTGTCTTAAAAACAACTTCAGACATTGTGATGTCAGGTATCAAATTTTCATTTATCTTCTCCCTTACTCATACATCTTCCATGAGTTTTATTCACTGACATAAAGCAAATATATGGCAGCCTTATGTGAGCCCAGCTCTAAAGAATGAAGGGAGGCTCCTGTGCACCTTTGAGGCTAAAATGGACAATGGAAGGTTGAAAACACAGGGAGATCAGGGAGTGATCAAACAGAAACCGAAGAGTTCAAAGCAAGAGTGACAGGCAGCAATCAGGACATATAAGACCCCACTAAGAAAATCAAGAATAAAAAATAATAATTTTTTAAAAGATCAAAAAGACTCAAGAAAATCTGGGAGAAGTTTGAATTCCCTGTAGTTGGCTTGGGATGGAGATACTGACTATAATATTTGTATGCTAAAGGAAAGGATGATCTCCAAAGGCTAGGGACTTGAGGACATGTAGTTATTCTATGAAAATGACCCCAAAATCTGCAAGATAGAAAGCTGATAGGAAAGTAATAGTCCAGAATCTACTTCTGGTAAAAT